CAGGATTCAGAAGACTTGGTAGTCCCTGGACATCAGAATTCAAATTAATGACTTCTTCCCGCCGCCAACCATGCCGCACGACGGGGCATCGACTTGGCCAAACGTGGGATGCGGTATCGAGCATCTGGGTACGTTTGAGAAGTCTTCGGCCTTCGCCAACAAACGATCTGCGACTAGATCATAGAAATTGTCAGCACAGAACAACACCAATAGATTCGAGTTGGTGTTGATATACCATCGGAAGGTCCCGTGCCTATCATATCATGGCGTTAAGATTGAAAACTGACAGATCGATATGCAAGTCACATTTGAATTGCAAACAATAAATGACATTGGCTGGAGGTCGTCGTAAGTGTACCCGTCACGATCAGACCGCAGGTGTTCTGTTGTGTTGGACACAATTTCGACGCGACGCTTCGACGTCTACCGGGTTGTAAACACCGTTCTCTCTTGGTTCTCTCCATCCCATAAAATCAGCGTTCCGTTCTTTTTTGTAAAAGGCAGAGATGGTAAAGCTGAAGCCCAACCGTGTTCGGGCCCGGGGGCAGCTGGCTATGTAGTACCAAACTGCGGCGATAGCGAGAAAAAGAAGACAAGAAGGATGACGGTGAGAGTCCTCGGCGGTGTGGGACGTCTACAGTCGATCTTGCAGAGTTGAGCCTTTACCTCGATGGGCGTTTAATTAGGTTAAATTTGCTATCGAAAGCGTCACGGTATCTTCCAAGCGCGATTGTCGTGGAAGTCGGGCGCGAGAACGCTGCCACAGACGCAGTCTCAGCTGAGAGCGGCAATTTAACCTTGGCCAATGACCAGCACCCGAGGGAAAATCGAATAGGATCATGATGAGACGGAGACAAGGGGTGGCCCGTGCGAATTCGCAGGATTCCTCAGAATCAGGTGATCCAGAAGTTGCCCCACCGCGGTACATCGCGACGAGGCTCCAGGGTGTGAGGACAACACAGCTCTCCTCCGGCTTATGGTCTACAGATATGCAAACTACATACCCATAAATACCAGTCGTGAATATATCATACATGAATGCAGCCGCAAATCGCGTACTTTTCTGTAGATCGCTCCGTCCAATCCATTATTCCGACCGTCCCGTCCGCCACACCACCGCACCCGCGAACAGGCATCTGTCCCAGCAGCCGCACATTAGAGGGTTGGACTCAACCGCCCCTCGCACATAACTTAGACCACACTTCTACTTCTGCAGCCGCCGCTCGACCAGGTCGCGCACGCCCTGCACAACCTTCGCTACGTCGACGTTCTTCTGCACGTCGATACGCAGGTACTCCATCCCCAGCATGTGCGCCATGTTGTGGAAGTGCCAATTCTGAAATGCGTCGTCAGTCAGGTGTCAAGTGTTGCATGGGGCAGAAGGAAGGATTAAGAGAAGGAAACAGTCAAAGCGGTCAAATGGAGCGAAAAACGGAAAACTCGGAAAACGGGAGGAGAAAGGGGGGGAAGCCAGCCCGAGCGGCAAGACGGATGAGCGGTTAAACTCGACGCAGGATGATGAAAGATGACAGGAAAGGAATAGGAGGATGGTAGGGAGCTCAAAAAAGCGGGTAAAATAGGAAAACGGATGGACGGAAGACCAAGGCCGTCAAACGGAAAGACCATCAATCACGGAGAACCGGATGGGCGGCAAACCGAAACCGGGAAAGACGGATGGACGAAAGACGGGAAAAGCGGAAGAAAAGGTAAATGGGGGACGGTGGGTAGCACGGGAAAGTAGGTATCCGTGAACGGCAAGGCGGATGCACGGAAGAGGGGGCGGGGGAAAACGGGTATGCGGCAGCGCAGGCCCCGCACCCGCCCCACCCAGAGCTCGCGTCGGCGTACCGCGCCATGCAGCCGCCAAGAAAGAAATCACCGAGACCCGGAACCCAGAACCAAAACCACTCACCCCCTGCGCCCCCGTCGTCATCAGCTCCACCACGCTCGCCCGCCCCGTCGGCATGAACAGCGTCAGCCCCAACGCGCCTGCGTGCACGCTCACCACCACGTCCGCGCGCCCCACCGCGCCGAGCTGCGCGGGGAGGGCACTCGTCGTCGGGTCGAGCGTCGCAAAGCGCAGCGCGCGCGGGCGGGCGGCGCGGGCGGTGCTGTTTGAGGAGGTGTTCCCGTCGGAAGGAAGAGGGAAAGGTGCGCGGCGCTCGTTCGCGAGGCCCTCGCCCGGCGGGGCGCCAACCGGAGCCGCCCCACCTCCACCTACACCTACAGTGCTCCCAGTGCTCTCCCCTTTTTTGGCGTCCGCGTCCACGTCCGACGGGGGCGGGGCCGTGCCAACGCCCAGCCCCAGCGCGCGCGCCTCTCTCGGGTGCAGACGCGACCCCCACACACCAGGCATCAGGTCCGCGTCGGTGTACGTGCAGTCGTGCGTGCCGGGGGTGTGGGGGGTGGATCCTGTGGAGAAGAGCGTCAGCGTCGGAGTCACCCGTCAGCAAAAGAGCAAGACGATGCCCCCCATCTTCAGCACCGAAGCCAGTCAGGCCGGCCCCCAAAGTCCAAGTCCGTGCATCGTACGCCCCTCTGGGCACATACAAGAGAGAGTAGAGTAGAAGACACCCACCAGCAACCGCCGTCGCCACCCGACACAGCCCAGCCAGCCCCGCGCGCAGCCCCGCGAGCAGCTCACCCTCGTTCGCAATGTGCCGCGCCTCCTGCCACGCGGTGAGTTTGTGGTTTTTGTGTCTGGAGGCAGAGCGTGAGTTCAGCGGAAAGGAGTGAGAGGAGGGAGGAGGGAGGGAGGGGGGAGAAGGGGAGGAGTAGTAGTATACGTCCTCACGAACAAAGCCCCCACCACCACCGCTTTTCTGCACAACGCCCTGGGTGCGACTCTGCGTCCTTGCGAGGCGCCCCCGCGCGCGCCTCGAAAGAAAGAGAAAGAAAGAACCACACCACGCGACTCACCTCGTATACCCATCAAACTTCTCCCGCGACAAAAACAGGACCTGGATCGGGTCCCCTCCCTGCGCCTGTGCGTGTGTCGTCACCGGCGCGCGCCGCTCCACATTTTCCCTCCCCACCTGGCCTTCCGTTCGGTTCGACCGGCGCCCCGCCCCCACCTCCTTCCACGCGCGAGGCCCGAGTGAAGAACTAGAAGAAGAGCCCGGCAGCCCCTCGAGCCCCCACACCCACCGCAGCCACAGGCTCGTGCCCCATACGAGCTCGCTCGCACACGTGTGCGGGCGCCCGACGCCAGTGGCGCTAAGGAGCGACGCGCCCGCGCCGACGGAGTGGAAGGCGCGCGCGAGGCAGGTGTTGGCTAAAAGGGGGAGAGTTAGCGCTTGTGTGCGGATATGGAGATGAGAAAAAAGGGAAAGGAAAGGAGAAAAATAAAACGGCAGAAAGGAAATAGGCAGGAAGGGAGGAAGAGGGAGGGAGGCGGGGAAAGAAGGGGTTGGGAAGAGAGGAAGAAAGGACGAGAGGGAAGGAGGGAAGGAGTAGAAGGAAGGAGTCGAAAGACGGCCAAAATCGAAGCAACACCGAATGATGGAATAAAGACGAAAGCCACCCACCCAATCCCTCCACCGCCATCCTCCTTGGCGGGAACGCCCCCATCCGATCAAACAGCGGCGCAAAGAGCGACTCCGTGGGCAGGTAGTCGTCCGTGAACACGAGCTGCAGGCCCGCCGTGTGCGCCACCTCATGGGCGAGCTCCGCCGTCAGCTTGCTGAACTCCGCCTTCGCGCTGGACGCAGAGGAAGATAGGGTCTTGGCGTACGCGGCGGGGAGGGCGGTCCAGAGCTGCTGTTCCACCGCGGAGGATGTGGATGCAGAGGTGGAGGAGGACTGGTGCCGCGAGAACAGCGTGAGCGCGAGGAAGGTCGTGACGAGGTCCTCGCCGACGTGGAACGGGTTCCAGCGGTCCTGCCGCGGGACAAAGAGCACCGGGTGCGTGAACGTCTCGGTGCACCCCTCGCCCGCGTTTTTGTCCTGCGCAAAAAAAAAGCACATTCATTACCCCAATCTTTGAAAAACCGAGGCACGCAAACCCGACTGACTTACCTCGACAAACTCCTTGCCCAGGAACCCCTCCCTTCCCATCGCAGCCTTCAAATCGTTCCCCCAATTGCTCACTTCGCACCGCCCGGTGAACTGCCCGTGGACGCTCGCATCCCCGCCCCACCCGGGCGTGTGTCCAAGGTGCTGCGAGGCGCAGAATGCCTGGGGGTAGGGCCACCAGTGGTTCGGCGAGCTCGGGTCAGAGGCGCCGCCCGCGGGGAAACACGTTATCGACGCCGTCGAGGCGGAAGCGGGCGAGGTGCAGTAGGGCACGGCGCCCGTGATGTACGCATCGACCATGCGCGTGGAGAGCTGCCCGCCGCACGTGTCGAGCTTGCGCGCGCTGATCTCGGCCTGGGCGCGCGCGAGGAAGAGGCGTGCATGGAGGGCGGGGTGGTTGTCGCGGAAGAAGGGCGAGCCGGAGCCGACGCCGCCTTCGTCGTCGTTGTTAGTTCCGCCCCATCCAGAGGCATCATTATTGAGGTCTTCGTTATGTGAGTAGCCACCGGGTATAGAGCCCGAGTTAGAAGTAGAGCCAGAGCCGGGAAGCGAGAACGAGGAGGGCGCAAAGACGACGTAGACGAGCAGAACTGAGCTGAGAGCAAGGACAGCGACGAAGATGAGGAGGCGCCTTATTCGGGTTGGCGGGGCAGCAGGGGTGAGGCGAGAGAGTAGATCTTTTGCTGACTGGCCGTTGGGGTTGGCGGCAGTGGGCAGCGGGGTATAGGCTGTAGAGGACATGGTCGGGCGGAGTCAATTCTTGTTTTAGGCGCTCATGACAGAAATGCGGAGACCAGCGGGAACTGTATGCGGTGGCGGTACGTGTCACTGATATCACCCCGAGACCGCAACCAACAGTCTCACGGTTGCGCGAAATAGGGGGTTTCGGATTTGGGCCAGTGAGCAGCGAGCCTTGTTCCCTCCCTAGGCTCCGAGTCGTGGGCTAGAAACTAGGCAGATAAAAAACCGATGTTCGAAAATAATCATGGCCCAGGCCGGATTCGAACAGGCATCTTCTGCTCTCTACATATACCGCAATCCCGAAAGAAATGCAGATGTGGAAACCTCCCACCACCGAACCATTGTACGGGTTGTTGGTTCCCTGCTACTTATATGCAGGTTTAAACAAAAAATTAGCTGAACAAAAGGTTGTAGCCCTGGCCACAAATTCAATGCATAGCCTGGCCGGGACCAATTTGAACGACCCGCTTCTGCTTTGCCTATATATCCCATTGACATGAAGTCCAATCTAATACAGATGTGGACCCGCCACCATCAAGCCGTCGTACAGTTGGTTGTGGGCCTCTTTAACCATGCTATTTCTTTGGACACAAACCAGCCAGGCAAAAGAAATTCTTTGTGATTCCCCTCACCTGATTCGAACAGGCATCTTCTGCTTTCTATCTCGCAATCCCCCAAGAAATGCAGATGTGGACCATCCACTACTGGTCTTTCGAGAGATGTTTGGTTCTCCCATTATCCATGCAATTTTTGAACAAAAAATTAGCTGACCGCAAAGACACATGGCCATTTTCGGGTGTCGGAACTCGACAACGGTGAATGGAAAATTAAACAAATACTCGGTCAGCTCAACCACGTCGCCCACCGACTGTGCTTCCCCTCAAGTGTCAGCGCAATCTCCCGGGCAACAATGCGATCCGCCTGTTCGCTCGGATGTAGCTCATCGGCCCTGGAATGTAAATAAGCATCATTTAACTGCAGGTCGCAGAAAACCAGAATAGAATAGATATGTACGCACCACAAGAAGCTATCACGATCTGTGCCATTTGCGACGGTGCAGTCAAGGGTTGTGCCTCCAATGGTCGTGACGCATGCGTTCCAAGTTCCTGGAATTTAGGGAAGAATTGCTTATCAAAATGAAGATCGCTATGACGTTTTGCACACACCTGTGACGTTGAGCGGGGCGGTCCCGTTGAGGTACAGGGCAGGATGGTCGAACATATCTTGGAAGAGGGAATGCGAGTCAAACAGCGCTGCGAACACAGCTCAGTTTAATTGCTTCAGAACAATAATTAGTTCGATGCCAACCGATATGCGCTCCGGGAAGGGTAGGCGCGAGTGCTTGCAGCATGAGCTGCGTCAGCTTGTTCCCCGAGCGAGTCATTTCCGTCATGATGATGCTCCATTCAGTTGTATTCCGCTCGAATGCCCAATACTTGTTCGGGTACGAGTCGGCAGCGTACAGGATAGTTAACTCGAGTGGAATCATCTGCGAGCCCCGGGGATAATCAGCCATGGCCAAATGTTGGCAACAGGAGGATGAGCGCACATTCTGGAAAATGAAATTCCGCGCGCCACTCTCGTAGAGAACTTTCACCCAATTGACCATGCATTCTGTGACGTCGACGAGCGATACACCTGGATCGCTTCCCGTCAATAGCGTGGATACACCGAGGTCGTTCGTCCCGATCCAAAGCGTGTAGATCGTCTCGTCTGGTGGCAGTCGGAGCGAGCCATTGGCCTTTTCGGTCAGGTACAGGGGGATTTGACTTTCAAAGAGCGGGGGGAATGGCCGGAAAGTAAGGTTGTTGGAGCAGGTTGCACCCGCGCGCGCAAAGGGGTGGAGTGCGACGTGGGCGTAGCCCGCGGCGTAAACTTGATGATGTTTTTTCAGTTGCCTTCGAACACTTTCTAGACGACAATCGACCCACCAGGCCAGGCGGTGGCTGCATCGCCTGAAGAGCCCTCAATACTAGACAGATAGTACTTCGAGTGAACCCACCAGTTAACACGACGTCAGTATAGCTGTCGCCGAAAGTGACCAGATGTTTTATCTGTCCGGGACGAACACCAGCGCAGTATACACCACAGACGGTGAGAACACTTGCATAGAGGAGCGAAGCTAGAACCATTTTATCGTTCCAAGATTAAAGCGTACTTGCAGCTTTAATACTCAGGGCACCTGTGGAGGCCGCCCGACCAATGTCCGTCTGTCGGCCGCGCGCGGATGCAATTGGGGTAGGTCGGAACGTCCGACATTCCCCCGCGCGCCGGTGCTATTAGAAGACCCAGGTGCTATTAGAAGACCCAAGTCTTGTGGTCCCAGATGTCAAGGGTAGAAGGGAAGAACCGGAGCACGGGCCGAATCGCCATCAACCGGAACTTACCGGCACCGTTTCAACTTCAAGAGTTGAAAAACGCGCAAACAAGTTTGTTCTAAGCCAGAACGAAGCAAATAATTTCGTATTTCTTAATGCTATCAAAGCACGGCGGCACGGTCCAAATCAACGGTATCGCAAAATTACAAGAAAGGGAAAAACTGGTTGAGAAAAAAAAACCGAAGATGGTGAGTACATCAGACAATCGAGGTACGAGATCAACTTTGTTTGGAGCTTCTGTTGATAAGTAAGGGATTTTTACCGAACAGGTGAATTATCAACCCACTCCTTGTTCGTGCACAACCATGACAGACGCCTCTTAGATGTCCCTCGGCGTTTCTGTGTCGCACGAGTCACGGTGGATCTCTGCCTCGTGACGTGTCGCTTTGGGGGTTTGTATATGGATTTCAGAGCGCGGCTCTACCTATTTTCGCTTCAAGATCGGAGTCAAACCAATTCAGAAAGCTCGCCGCTGGGGTTAAGGATGGCAAGGTCACTGTGACCTGGTCCATCGCACGGAGGGTCGCCCTGGAGTTCAGACTAGATTCCCGCATCACCGCATAGTTTGATTAAAGCGCAACCGAACTTGCCTAGCCAATAAAGAGTTCGAAAATACTGTATTCAGTTAGAACATCAATCGGGTGACAGTAGACGCACTCACGTCGCGCGACAATAACCAAAATCGCCAGCCAGATAACTATAAACTCCTTTCAGTGTGAATTATCGTATGGTTCCGAAATTCATGCAATTTTGCTTCATTGTGACAAACTGAAAGAACGGAATTCAGTCTTGGGCAAGCGAGTGACTGCACACTCTCAATGGAACATACACAGGCCAATACGAGAGTGCTCGAGATGCTGAAGATATGAAACTGAACACAGTTGAGGAAAAGCAAGTGACGGAAAACCAACCTGGTCATTAACCCCGTCTCTGCAACATGATTCGTCAGAAAAAATAACATGTCCTGAACAATTCATGGGCAAACCTATAGTCCATGTAATAATTTTGTCCACAAGCGCCGTTGTCCTGTCCGACATTAATGCTTGGGTATTAGGCACTCCAGGTACAGTACCTCTTGCGTACTCGGAGACGTTGGTTGCGGAGGAAGGCCACAAGAATTGCCGTGATTGTTAAATCTGCCGCACTGCTAATACTCCATAACACAATAACAATCCACCCCCACTGCCTCTCAAAAGACTTTAACAGAGTCATTCTCGTTCCTATGGCAACTATTGCGCTGCTACCCAGTAGGCGCGCGAAGATCATGGCCGAGATTATGAGAGTGATGTAGACTCTTTTTGAAAGTGCGTAAACTCGGATTGTGAAGAACCCTTGTACTAGGACATGTCAGTGGCTGACATCGAGTTGGATCGATATATGCACATACCCAATGTTGCGATGACGGCAGTCAAGAAGGCGGCAACCAGGAGGGGTTTTGGAAAAGCACCAGCGATGCGCTCTGGGTGTCCGTAGTTGGATATCGTGTAGGTGTATGTGGCGTGTCCAATGCATATCGCATGCGCAAACTCACAGACCCTTTTATAAATGGATAAACTCAGGCATGAGGAAGTGGTCAGGTCTTGGGAAGCGCACCAGATAAAACCAACCTAAGCACGGTGATCAATCATATATAGTCTGCCCGGCTTGTCTTGCACGCACCAAAACCTTGATTTTTTGGGAGTCCTCTGGGAAGCGGCTGTAGTAGATGTACGTTTGGGTTGTCGTGACACCGAAGAGGACATGAGAAACGAAGACGCCGATCTGCAAGGCACCCAGAGAGGCGGCGAGATCCGATGGTACAACAGAATCCATGAGGTGAGCTTCTTTCATGAAGAGACCAGGAGAGAGCTTATATGCAAATCGAAAAACATGAATATTCTAGCCACGGGAGAAGATCTGGTAATCTTCAAGATGATCATGGAAACAATTGAGAGAACGATGCGGCCTCCCAAAAAATTCCCTACGGCTGCAGACCTAAGAAAGCGCGCCGCGAATGATTCCACCTGGAAAACAATGTATTATCTCGAGACAACAATGTGGCATTCTGTGCGCACCTAGAGGGGCGTCGAGATCGGTATAATAGAATCCATGAGGTGAGTTTCTTGTAGAGTGGAAGAGGAGGGAGGCATATACGGCTCAGGCTCGGGGACCATAAATATAGGTATTCTCAAGCGACGGGAGATAATCTGCTGATGTCGCCTTTGACGAATATCGTTGTACTCGGACTATATTGGTATCGTCAGTCTCTTGCAGACAGATATTTCAATGGATTACTGATCTCGTACCTCAATGCATCGAATCTGAAGGGTTGAAGGATATTATTCGTAGTCTCTTGCACTGACTTCCCAGCATGCCACTCGCAATCTCGTTCTGATTCCTGAAGATCATGTACAATCGGCCGGGACGATTGACTCAAAGGCTGGGGCGGTCTCGGCCAGTTCTTGGACGTAAACAAGCCTCCATTAACGTCACCGCCGGCCTCGACAAGGCTGCGAACTGCTGCAGCCAAAGGAATGGGCGTAGGAAGAGTGCGACACTGCCACCATCAGCCCTAACGTGCACAAGTACATACTATCAATCATCGCATCAGTGAGCCCGGGCTTTGCCGACGTCGTTGTTGAGTTGCACAAGCAGCATCTCAGTTGTGAGCTATATGAGGTAGGCAGCATCTCGGGCGGTAGAGATGTCAAATCGTATGCAATGGGCGATTATTCTGATCTCGAAGAAAGCTTGAACCACACCATAGGCCCACTTGTTCGACTTTCAATCCGTGACTTCTTCACGGTTCTAACCTCCGGAGCACATACTGGAACGTCCGAACGGTTTCGCGCGGTCTAGACGCGCCCAGGCCTGTTTAACATCCTATACATCCGCTCAAGACATCCCGCGGAAGCAAAAATGTCTCAGCCCCTATTTCCCCAGTGCATATAAATATGGGCTTCGCTTCTCTAATTTTTCACTC